TCTCCAGACAGAGACCTCATCTCTCCGCAGAGGGCAGAGCACTGGGAAGGAGAAGGGCTGGAGGGGAGGTGTGAGCCAGCTCCCAGGAGGTGCCGTTGATCGGCCCCATCCCAACTCTGTTCTGAGACAAACCTTTCGTCCCTGCCATGGTGGCCCCAGCTTTGGGTCACCAGGTGGAGTGGGTGGATAAGCTAGGCTGCTCAGCAACCAGCATCACTAGTGAAGACATATTCAAGGTGCATGAATGACACAGAATGTTAAAACCATGAAGGACAGCATATTCGCTCTTCCAACACGGTCATCTCTGCACTAACGACATGTTGCTACAATAGTGCCATGTAACACACAGCCACAAAATGCCAGTGGCAGCCACACACACTTATTTTTAGGGATCTGGGGTTTGCTGGGCTAGCCTGGGCTAGACTGAGGCCGTTCTGCTGCTAACCACAGGCGTGGGATCCGCTGGGGACCAGTGACCCGGGCCGGACTCTGCTCCTCAGGCTGCGTTTTCCTCGGACCGGGCCCCAGGCAGGGCCTGTCTCCTCCCAGCGGCGTTAGCAGCACCAGAGGGCGACGGAAGCACACGAGGCTTCGAGGCTTCGGAGGCCTGGCTGAGCACTGGCACCCTGCCACCTCCTCCCACGTGCCATTGGCCAAAGCCAGTCATGTGACCAAGCCACACCAAGGGCAGGGAAATACTTCTCTCCCTTGGCCGGGTTAGAGATGCAGGGAAGCGTGAAGCCTCAGGACCAACCTCAGTCTGCATCCTCTCCCCAAAGGCTACCCGGCCCGCCCCCATGCACCTCAAACGTTAACGGTAAAGGGGCAAGGAAGAGACGGCTGGTGGTTGTCATTGTCACGACGCATCCTAGGCCTTTTTCTGGCCAATAAGTGTTTCATGTTCTTAGTCAGCTGGCAGTGTTTCCAGCAGGTCATCTGGGCCCACCTTCGTGCTGCGAGCTTTGGGGGACATCCGGGAGAAAAGCCCTTATTCTACCCTCAGGAGCTCCTGGTCCATTGAGGGGTGAGGCTGGTGTCCAAAGATGAGATGGGGCAAGACGGTGCTCGGTTGTGTCAAGCCGGCTGTGGTGTTCAGAGAAAAGAGAGCCCGGCAAAGACGACGGGAAAAAGGACGAGATAGGAGGAGAGGAATCACGCTGACCCAGCGGGAAGCCCTGGCTGAATGACAGACACGGAGCCGCATTCTTCCCGCGCCTGCCCCCATGACATCCGGAGAGGAGCCGTGACCACCACGTCATCGATGGGGGAAAAAGCGGAGGCACAAAGACCTCAAGTAACTCTCCTGTGGTCGCCCTTCTGATACATCCTGGAACCGGGATTGGAGTCCAGCTCTTCCTGCAGCCAGAACCTGAGAGTTCACCGCCAGGGCCCGCGGCCAGCCGTCCCAGGGGCAGGGGGACGGCAGCCACAGACCGCTGTGCCTCGGGGGCAGCTTCCCGGGGTGGGGGCGCGGTGGAGGAGACCCCGCCATGTTGCGAACTATAAATGGGAGCAAGGATAGGATGTGCTGTTTGGCCAAGGTCCTGCGGCAAGGGAGGGTGGAGGCTGGGCTGGAGATTCTGGCTGCTGGCTCTCCTTCCGCTCCCGCCGGTACCAGCCGCGCTCTGGGCTCTCTCCACCCATCTGCGCAGCCACGCCTGACGCGCTTCCCTCTTGGAAGAGGTGCCATCCACTGGCATGGACGCCGCCGGGTGGACTGGCTCCCTCTCTCCATCCATCGCTTTCCTCCTTTCCCCTGCCACGTTCTGGAAAGGGCAGCGTGAGGGAATGTGGGCAGGTTGCACCAGAGATATACATCTGAGAACTGAAGGAACATTTATTTTTAATGTAGACTTAAAAAGGAAAAAAAAAAAAAAAAAAAAAAGAGGAAGTTATAAAATATCTGCTCCTGCTCCTGGGATTGTGCAGATGGTGCTGCGTGTTGCCTAATAGGGAACGGGGCTGGCACCGCATGCTCCTGCCTGGCCCCACCAGCCTGACGGCGGGGCCTGGAGGGTGGGGGTCCCTGTTCCCTTCGCCTCCGCTCCAATGGCCCCCTTCGGCCCGCGGGCCGGCCAATGCGGCCTGGTGTTCGCTGCCTTCTAACCTCACGTTAGACTGACTTCCACGCACCTCCGGCGGCTGACTTCCCAAACCCCCCCCTTTCATGAAGTCATCTCCACTCTTCCTCACCCTGAGCTCACACTCGCACACTCAGCACCGCCTCACCACCTCCTTCTGGCAGAGCCAAAGCACACCCACCGCTCCCTGCCTGAACCCGTTTGGACATTGGAATTGACCAGATTTACAGACACAATTAAGTACCCGGTTAAACTGCCTTGTCCCTTTCCGGCCCAGGCGTTGTAAAGACTTCCCCATGCGCTTGGCTGTGGGCTTCTGGCTCATTGTGGTTCGGGAGCCCGTATGCCTTTCCTCAGGGGCAGCAGGGAGCTTGGTGCAAAGAAGATGTTCAGAGACAGGCATGGCGTCTGCTTCTCCCTTTGTGCACAAGGGGATGAGCTGGAGAAGGAGTCCCTCAAATCAGAGAGACAGGACTCCCAGGCCAGGAATCAGGGGGCCCTGCCTTTTTTTTTCTTTCTAGGAGCTGCAAAGCCTTGGGCAGGTCACCGGATGTCTCTCAGCCTCAGTTATCCCATTTGCAAAATGTAGAAAGGAATTTCTATTTTTTTTTCTGAGCCCCAGAGTTAAAATGAGGACCAGGGTTAAGTGACATAAAGGGAAATGCTTAGCAAAACCCATCCATCTCTTTCAGAAAGCGTGAGGAGTCAGAGGTGCGTGGACGTCAGGCTCATGGGAGGGCAGGAGGTTGGCAAACACGGCGAAAACCCTGCTGGTTATGAGCTGCGTGCGTGTTTGTGGTACAGAGCCTGGGTGCTAGCTTAGTTTAGGGCGGTGGTTTGTTCTGGAAAAGACTTGATATCACATTTTAAAAATACGTGGCACAAGATAAACAAATGAAGATGAAAATGAGACAAAAGGAAATTTAGGGAAGGGAAGGGAAGGGAAGATGAAGTCAGGAGTGAAGTTTGGACACCAAAATAGGTGCCAGAGGATGTGTATACGGGGCAGAGGTGGGCTTGGAGGTCTGGCCTGACCTCGACACTCAGGGCAAAGAAACACAGTTAAAATGCCCAGTGTCTGCGGGGCCGGTGCCAACCACATGCTCACCAGTACAAGTTCTGATCTCATGGGAGAGGGTCCCTAAGGGGCCTGTGATGTAATGAGCTGCGAGGGTCCTGGACAACAGCTGTCTGGCACAGACAGTGAGCCCATGGGGCTGCATCGTACCCTCTCCTGGTGGCCAAGCACAGTTGGGGGGTTCAATGGGGATCGAGAGAAAAGAAGATGATGACGTTCATAACACACCCATGTAATATGAACCAGCAGGTTAGAGGGGATGATATTCTCCCAACAGGGAAGAACTACACACACACACACACACACACACACACACACTCATTAGCTTGCTCATGCTACCTGTTCCCAGCTTTATGCCTCTCTAGGCTCAGTTTCCTCTCTATTGTCTGGCTCCTGACTGGGGTCTGACTAGGAGGAGGTCCTGTGTTCCCCATGATTTTCAGTTGGGCTGGGGTGGGGTTATTCTCTTTACAAATACACGTCATGTGTATTACTTGGAAAATGAGAATAGAATTTAAACCGAGATAGGACCCCCAAGATCAACCCCTTCACTCTATATAGGTAAGAGAGCTGGAAGCCCAGAGGGGACTGTGTTATGCTGGAGATCACACAGGGACGGAGCTGGGGCTAAGAACCCAGGTCTCCGGATTCCCACACCAGTACCCTAAGCTGTCATGGCAAGTAAAAATGGAGCTATGATCTCATTTAGGGGAGAAAAATATCACCATAATTTCTCACTGGAGCCATGCATGGAATGGGTTTACATTGTATAATTTTATTCAAACCGCTATGGGGCCAATAAATATAAATGTATGTGCATATTCACTGTTTTAAAAACATTTTAATCTTTAAAACATGATTTACTAATGTTGCTGGGGATGTCTAGAATTTGATTTACTGCATAGAATTGAATGTTTATACTTGTTCCTTACAGAAATTCTTGCCAAAGAGCCATTTTATCTACAGGAATAATAAATAAGTCAATATGTGGATGGTTGTGCACATTTTTTCCCCATATGCAGCCGTACTGGGTAGGTGTTATTTTGCACACAAGCACTCAAAAGGTAAACTTAAGAGACATGTGGATCCCTGAAGTCCAAGGTTTGGCCAGTGTTAAAATCAGACAATTAACCTTGACTTAAAACAAAAAACAAATTCAGTGAATCTAGGTTTTCAGTGATATTTGGGCATTGAGAATAATGGGTCCACACATATACAGTCATGCTTAGCTATAAGGATGTATTGGCTCATTCACTCATTCACTCATTCAACAAATATTTTCTAGACATCCATGTTTCGTTCAATAGCTTAGACATGGTGTGCGTTTTGCTTAGTGAGGGCCCCGTGATAACATATGAATGCCACCAACTTGTAATTTGAAATGAGTTTTCTTTAATCCTCACAAAAATCCTGCTGGATGGCTGGAGTGTGAAGGAGTGGGGTCAGTGGAGCAGAAGTGAAGGTGTTTCTTTAGTTTGCTCGCTTGTTTTATTGTTCCCCTGCCCACCACTTATGAAAAGAATGCCTGTCAGCTATTAAAAAGAATACAGAAATACTCAAGAAGAATGTGAGGAAGTCCTATGTATCCAGATCTACATGCTGTGCTTCAGATTTTTCTTCATGCTTCAAGATATGTATGTGTGTTTGTGTATATGGTTTTATAGAGATGATTTTCTTTAAAAAAAAAAAATGGGACTGTGCTATAGTGCAATACTGCAGCTTGGGTTTATTCATCACACACACGCTCACAAAGGGCAGCAGGATGTCCACATCGGTTTGTGCAGATTCCGCTAGCTCTTGTTTGTGGCTGTGTTCCAGCCTTTCCTCTCTCTCTCCCTCAGGTGGTCGGTCTTCTTTTGCCCAACCAGACACTGGCATCCACTGTCTTCTGGCAGGTAAGTCTGCTGGCAGACAGTCTCCTAAGGGAGGGCCCAGCAGGTACTGGTTAGAACTCCTTGCCTCAGCATCTCCTCTCCCATCCGCGCCCCATGGGGAAATCACCCCATTTCGTACCTCTCCCCAACCCAGAAGCTACTGGGAGGAGCCCAGGCCTTCTTTCTCCTTTGAAGAAGGGGATGAGGGCTGGGCTGGTACCCTCAGCTGGATGGCTGGTTGGTGGCCGCCCACTCTGTCCCTCGGTTGCTTGGCCCATAGCTATTGACCTCGAGGCCCTTAGCCTCTTTGACATCAGCCTCACCCAAATCTGTGGGGAAGGTAAATGCACCCCAACCCCAAGGTAGTGAGCTGGGTGACAAGGCATCACAGACCCTGGTCTCTGCTCTTGAATAGAGTCTGGGGTGGCTCTCTGACAGGAGTGTATGTGTGTGTGTGTGTGTGTGTGTGTGTGTGTGTGTGTGTATGCTGCAGGGGAAGAGGGGAAGGAAGAAATTCTTTAGGAGAAAATGTCAGTCTTCCCTGAGCACAACTCCATCAGTGCTGGTGCCTGGGCACGGCAGGTGGTGCAGGACACGGGGCTGGGATATTTTGAAAGAGGTTCGGGGCTGTTAGTCATTCCAGGGGCCTAAATGTCCACCTCTGTCCCATAAGTAATGTAACAGGATGATGAGGCAAAGGCAGGGGGCCCATGTAGGGCATAATTTTGGAAGAAGCACTGTCTCTGCAGCACATTGGACTGCCAGGGTGGGCAGAACCAGTGTCCTGGTTTGCCAAGGAGTGTTCCAAGGCTGGGGACGTTCAGTGCTAACCCTGGCACAGTCCCGGGCACACTGGACAGTCGGTCATGCTAATGGTGGGATGGATGGACTCACCGTGAGCTGGCGACTCAGGTCTTTCTGAAGGTGTGTGGCCTCCCAAGGCCCTGGCCTGGCTTCCAGGGAGGTGAGCACACCCTCCCTGACTCCTCCTCTCCCCCTTGCCTTTCAGTGGCTGAACCAGAGCCACAACGCTTGTGTCAACTATGCAAACCGCAACGCTACCAAGGTGAGTGCCATGGACCGCCCTCCGGGGGTGGGCTTCCGGCTGGGGCGCCCTTCATCCTCCCTGCAGTGCATCACACCCTCGTCTGGCCGAGCACTGCCCCCCTGGAGGCACCTTATTTGCACAGCTGGGAGGGACTGTCCATGTGACAGGGAGACAGCCTGCAACGTGGAAGTGGGGGGGCAGCGACAGGGATCAGCGCCACTGGCTCCAGAATTCCCTGTGGGAATTCTGATGTTGGACTTGGACAGCCTCAGCCAGAGGGACCTGAATCTCCCCACAGCTTCTCAGGCTTCCCTGGAAGCGGCCTCGCTGCCCCCAGACTATTGTCTGCAGAGGGTTGAGGGGTGCTGGGTCTGTGAGGACTGCCACCACCTCCCTCCTGCCCTTCTCACCATGGAGGCCCTCTCACCCTTCTGCTGTCAGGAAGGGGCTGGGCCCTGCTGCATTGGTGAGCGAGGTGGCCGTTCCCCTTGTCAGTTCTCTTGGTCTTTGGTCCAAAGGCAGGAAGAAGGGAGGTGGGGTCTAGGTTAGTTGGGGGGGCTATCAGTTTGGGTAGGAGAGGGTGTGTGCTGGCCTGAGAGGTAATATTTCGGGGCCTAATACCTTGAACACACACCCTCTCCCCATCTAAACCTTGTCTCACTCGTGTGCTTCACACATGTACATCTCTGCTTGTTCTGCTCCCATGAGCCTTAAACCAAGCATCTCTGAAATGGCCATTGTGGTATCTAAAGGCAGGTTCTTGCCGGGACCGGTTTGGCTCAGTGGATAGAGCGTCGGCCTGGGGACTGAAAGGTCCCGGGTTCGATTCTGGTCAAGGGCATGTACCTTGGTTGCGGGCGCATCCCCAGTAGGGGGTGTGCAGGAGGCAGCTGATTGATGATTCTCTCTCATCGATGTTTCTAACTCTCTATCCCTCCCTCTTCCTCTCTGTGAAAAATCAATAAAATATATATTAAAAATAAATAAATAAATAAATAAAGAAAGAAAGAAAGAAAGAAAGAAAGAAAGAAAGAAAGAAAGAAAGGCAGGTTCTTCAGCTCTCTCCTAACTTTCTGCATTGCAATGTGAGGTGCATTTTCCCACAGAAATACCGAGCAGCTGTCCTCCATTGCACGGAAGCGCAGCTGCTACCTGGGCCGACAAAGCCTGTGAGCGCAGCCAGGCCGGAGTGGCCCTGCCCCTGCCCTGTCTAGCCAGGAAGTGCTCCAGGGGCCAGACAGCCCGCTCCCGCCATGTGGTCTTCCTAAACCGGCTCTGCACTTGCTGTTCTCCGGCTCCCGCCAGCAGGGTCTTCCCGTGACCTTTCTAGAACAGGGCAGAGTGCCGTGGGCCCTTCGGCATCGCCCTGGACGCTGCTGCATCTGCCCGGACACTGCTGCCTCCTATTTCTGTAGTTAGAGCTGCACTGTTGGTGGCTGGGATCCTTCTGGCTTCCAGAGGGATCTCTTCCTTCTCACCCGACCCTCCCATCCTGGAGGCAGGAATGCCCCTTGCTGGCTGGGACTCTTGGCAGGGGCAAAGTGTGGGCACCCAGTGGGCCTGAACTTCTGTCTGTTGTCTTCCAGCCTTCACCTGCATCCAAGTTCATCCAGGGCTACCTGGGAGCTGTCATCAGTGCCGTCTCCATCGCTGTGAGTAAGCCCCCTCCTCCCATCCCAGCATCTCGGGACAGACCTGGTCTGAGGGTCAGACCCAGGCAAGAGGCATGGGAGACAGGCTTCTGGGGGCGGGCTGGCAGGACTGGCTTTCTAGGCGAGAAGAGTAGGTCTCGGTGACACTTGGACGGGGAGAGCATAAGCTCGTGATTCGGGGTCAGAGAGCAGGCGGGAGGTGCAGAGGTGCCTGTGGGTGAGGGGAAGGGCTGCCCACTGCAGCCAAGGGCACATGTCTGTCCCCAGAGGCCAGGTTTGCCTGGCGCTCTGCTCAGCGGAGCTGGTCCTCACGCTCAGGAGCGCGGCTGGTGCAGGAGGCGAGGGGCTCTGGAATGATGCCCAAGGTTGGCCCAAATGCCAGCCGCCCTTTGCTCTTTGCCTGAGCTCCTGGGGCTCGGTTGTCCCTGCTCTGTAGCTTTGGTCGTGTGGTCACACGTCCAGTCCCTCCTGGAGGCCTGTACGTTCCTCAAAATGAGCTGTTGGAGGCGACAGCTCATTTTGAGTCCCACAGGACTTGGAAGATAGAGCAGCCATTACATAGGGGAGGTTTGCCGACCGTAGGAGCCTAAGGTTGGATCCCAGGCCCGGGAAGGGGCGGGTGACACTGCGAAGGGTCGAGGCCAGAGCCAGAACGGAAGCTCACGCTCCCGGGACCCTGGCTCCATGGCCCACCCGGAGCCCACCCTGGAGAGCACCCTTGCTCCTGTCTGGTCCTCCCTCCACCCCAGCTGGGTGCCTTGCTGTGGTTGACTCCGGGGCAACAGTCACTTCACAACGTCGTTATTTTATTCATTATGCGATAAATACATGCAACGGTAGGAGGGAAATCAGAAAATTCAAATAAAAAATATCCACATGCAATTATCTTTCTGTGAAACCCCATTTCCTCATCTTTCCCATGTCATTAATAAATATCCCAATTGCTCATGAAAAGGCATTGACCCATCGTTTACTTCACTGTTCTCCTAAAGTAGGGTTTGGGGTTCTGAAATGGCCTCATTTACTCCACTCCCACGGAGACCAGATCATCTCCACAGAGCTGTTGGGTGTGTGTGTGTGTGTGTGTGTGTGTGTGTGCTGGGCGAGGGTGGGGGGTGTCCCCATTTCTTGACCAAGAGCGTTCTCCTTCCCTGAATCCTTGTCTCATCCCAAGGCATTGCCAAATCTGCTCAGGTGGCTGCTAACCCACCTGTGACCTAGCAGGAGACCATTTGCCTGGGGTCATACATATTGGGGATCCCTGATTCTGTGGGGGTTGCTGGCCAAGGTCAGGGGCTCTTGTGAGAGACGGGAAGGGGCTCTGTCACCTCTTTCTTGCCGATGTCACCTCCTCTTCCCTCTGACAAGAGGAGCTGATGGCTCAGCCTCCTTTAGCAGCTTGAAAGTCCCACTTTCCTTCCCTGAGATTTAAGGGTGGGATGGGGGAATACTGAGTGGCTCTGGTTGGGGAGGGCTTGAGAGGAGGGACCACTGTCCTGGTGGATGTCCTTCTCCTGCAGGCCAGGGCCCAGGCCCTGCACCCCAGTCCTGCTGTCTCACACCAAGGGCCCTCAGTCCTTCCATCCCAACCTCTTCCCAGGGCCAGAGCCAGCCCAGGGGCGGGGAGGAGACTCTGAGGCCCAGGCCTCCCAGAGTTCCCAGGGACTCGGGTCCTTCAGGGCTCTCAGAGCCAGGGCCTCACCCTAGGGACTGGGGGCCTCACACTGGGCTGTCCTGGCCCCCAGGGGCTGTGCCTGTGTCCCCTTCCTCCTCCCCTCCCAGCTGCAGAGACCTCGGAGAGGCTTTCCCTGACCACACCAGCCCACACCGTTCTCCCTCGCCACTTCTAGAAACTTCTAGAAACCTCTAGAAACTTCTAGAAACTTCTAGAATCTTCTGTCCTTCACACGCACTTGGCGATCCCCCATGCCCTGTCCTCTCCTTGTTCCCCCGGATTACCAGTTAAAAGGGCCGGCCTCTGTGTCTTCTCCCCAGAGGGGGGCAGGCGGCCCTGCTCCATAAATACTTGTTAATTAGGCCGCTGATTGATTGCAGCCTCGGGAGGCCCCTCTCGCTCTGATCCCAGTCTCAGCAGCGGCTGCCTCCGCCCTGCCGTCTTCACACAGCGAGGGGCTAACTCCGGCAGATGGAGCGGGGCTTCTGCCTTGGAAAATCTGCAGCTCGCTTGCCTCTCTTTTGTGTGTGTAAATCACAAAACCTCCGGAGAAAGAGGCTTTATTTTATTTTCCTTCCCCTTGTTCTCTGGAACCCCGGGCCCCGAGGCCTCATTAACTGATCTCTGCCTCAATTAGTGACAAATCCCCTCCCAGGGCGAGCCTGTTAGGAGGAGATGACCTGCAAACAAGTGTCAGGGCCCCGGCGGTTGGCCCGGCTCTGGCATTAATTAAAACGAGTCCCTACAAGCAGCCGCGTGGACGGGCTGACAGGCCGAGGGCAGAGCCCAGGGCCGGGGGACAGGCTGGAGTGGAGGCCAGGCCCCGGGAGGCCAGCCTCCTCTCTGGACCCTGTCGTGCCCTTTCCCCTCTGGCGGGAGCCTGTGGCCTCGGCCAGCACCCCCAGATCCAGGGAGCCCCCCGTTTGCAGGCCCCGGAAGTGAAGGCTCATGCTGGTGGCAGGGCCTCCCGCGTGGGGCGCGCAGCCTTTGGGTGAACCCTCTAAATAGCTCCGTGTCTGGCTTCTTGCTCGAGAAGAAGACAGAAATGCCATCTTCGGTTATTTTTGAGATCTCTCAGTTTGCTGTCTGTTAACAAAGGAAGCCTCGCTGGGTGTTGGTCGGGAGTTGGTGTTGAGCCCTTGGTGGCCAGCGCCCCCTGGCCCGGCTGCATGAGGGTGACCCTGAGGGGTGCCTTGAGGTGAGCCCTTTGCAGACACTGATGCACACAGACTGGTGTGTCCTGCAAGATGCTTCCAGGGAAAGCTGGCATATTCTGTGATAAAACCAGATTGATGAGGAAGGCCACCCCTTGGGTGGGGGTGGGTCGCAGGCATGGGACCCCTGATTTACGCAGGGCTGACTGTTACAGGAGACCAGGGAGAGGCGAAGGCAGGGCTGTGCGTTCCATAGAGAGGGGGCACAGCGGGCGGAGGGCAGGACGGATTCCACACGTCAGAGAACGAGTGGCTGCGCTGCGCAGAGTGATGGTGACGAGGTGATGAGGGGATGAAGCAGGGGGGCTACAGGGAGCACCGAGTATGGTAGTGCCATGCTAATGCCATGCCAGGAGCCCCTGCCTGGACACAGGACCGTGGCGCTGCCGGGGGTGCAGGCAGAAGGGGGCTGGAGAAGTCGTGGGGGGCTGGCAGGCCCAGCAGATGGACCGCCTTCATGGACCCAGGGTCTGGGACGAGAGTGGTCCTGGGGCTGAAGAGGAAGGCTCGGGACTGATGGATGGAGCCCGAGAACGAGAGCTACTTTATGTCTGACCCTCAAAGCCTCCACCCCAGCCAGGTCTTAGCTGGCTGCGAACTTTCCCTGTTGGGGCAACACTGAGCTCCATTCCTAAAGGGCCTGGGCCCTGGGGTTATCTCTGTAGAGTCTGTAGTGATGTCTGTTAACGTCTACTGCTAGACACCGGAGGATAAGAGGGATCCCTGGGCCGAACCCCGCCCCCTCTCGGTCCCCTTTGCCTTCTCCATGTCCCTGTGCTAGTCAGACAGGAAGGTAAACACAATGGCTAACTCTTATGGCATGCCAGGCGCTATGTCAGTGTTCATCTCCATTTCACAAGTGAGGAAACTGAGACCCAGGTGAAGGCAGTGGCAGAGCTGGGATGCAAACCTAACCCAGGGCCCTTCTTCCGGCTCCCCCTATGGCGTAAGGAGGCCGGAGAATCCACACAGCGTCCTCAGCTTCCGGGCTGAAGGAACTTCCTGTGATCCCAGGCAGACAAGTCCCTCCCAAGGACAGTGGGGCCTGGACAAAAATGTTTGAGAGGCTCCTTAGCTGTAACAGGGTTGGACCCTCTGCTCACCCTCGTACGTGGCTCCTGGGCCTGTGTTTTCTGGCCAGAGTCAAGTCAGCTACATATCCTTGTCCATGGTTCACAGGATGCTCTGCCCCTGCAAGATGCACCTGGCTGGCTCTGAGGTCCAGGGTGCCTCTCAGGTGTTCTCTTTGGTCAGGGGTGCTCTCTGTGGTCCAGGGTGTACCTCAGGCCTTGCTGTTCTTCTCTGGGCCTAATGGAGGGGCCGGCAGCTTGGGCATCCGGGGTCAGACTGTTGTCTTGCTGCTGTCACTAGGACTGGCTTCTGAGTCAGAGGGCCCATCGCATGGACCCTGTGGCATAATCGGGTTTGTTCCAGAAGCCCACAGGCGGCGATGCTGGCAGTGGGGAAGTGGGGGAGGTGTCTGACATGACTGTCGGCTCTGTACATATTCTAGGGAGGACAATTTGGTGTCCCCTTTTATGGGTCTGATGGGACTTGGTTTCCCGGCAGGTGGCCAGCTGGTCTCTGCGGGCTATGGATCCGGGGTCAGGTCTGGTCAGTGTAACTGGCACACCAGCCTCTCAGGCACAGCAGGAGCCGACGGGTGCTTTCACCTGTACCTGACTCTGACCCAGCCGCGTGGCCCTCTGCCCCTGAGCCTGCCTCCAAGCAACAGCCTGGCTGGGGTTGCAGGCACATCAGAGAGTCATGGGCCACTTTGTCACCGAGTTTATTCTACCGTGAGCGCCATCTGGTGGGAGGTTTTGGTACCTCCAAGAGTCTTTGACCTGCCCCAGCCATTGCCCTCCAGCACCCACCACACACGGTGACCCTTTGGTTCCATTACTTCCCACCTCCTGAGAGTGGAGATAGATTCTGACCTCACACCAACCCTCTTCCCAGGCATGCCCCCTTCTCTTGTTCTCCAGGGGCCCTTGGACCTCCGATGGCAAGCACCGTGAGTCCACAGAGCCGCCCCTGCAGCCCGCTGAACCCTTCCTTCTCACCTGGCTGCATCCCTCTCACCCCTCAGGGCTCGGTCAGGCATCTCC